ACCACCTTAGGTGTATGTGGCTGGCGCCTTAGCCGCTTGAGCCACAGGCGCCGATCCCGAGCCATGTTTTTATATTCTTTTATGAGATGGTCAGTCAGATGAAGCCACATGAGGAGACGCAGAAGAGGCTCAGGAAAAGTCTATTATACTCATAGGTCATAGAGACAGGAGGCATGCCATAGCATGTAGGGTCACATAGGAAAGACACCAGAATGGTCAGGGAACAGAAGGTAGAAACAGGGAAAAGTTTAGGCCACTGCTTTATTTGAGTTTCCTTTGGAAAGGCAACACAGGGCAGGTGAACAGTTTAGGACTGGCTAGTTTGAATAATTCTTGCAGGCTATAAATTATAGGGATGCTCTCTGGTTTTATTATTTTGGGCCCTATGGTGATTAAAGCACAGGAATATTAGCTGGGTGTGGTGGCTCATGCCTATAATCCTAGCACTCTGGGAGGCTGAGGCAGAAGGATCCCTTGAGCTCAGGAGTTCAAGACTAGCCTGAGCAAGAGCCAGACCCCATCTCTACTAAAAATAGATAAATTAGCCTGGCATTGTGGCGGGTGCCTATAGTCGCAGCTGAGGCAGGAGAATTGCTTGAGCTCAGGAGGAGTTTGTGGTTGCTGAGGGAGGCTGACACCACAGCATTGTAGCCTGGGGCAACAGAGTGAGACTCTGTCTCAAACAAACAAATAAAAAAAACCCCAAACCCTAGTATAAGAATATTGTTTCCTAGGTATATGGGCCAGATAGAGGAGGAATGGTTCTGAATTGATTAGTTGATATATCAAAGACATCTTCTTGCCAAGTCCTTGCTATCTCTAAGAATTAACTAGCCCAGGGGGAGCAACCAGAACAATTTTTTTTTTTTTTTTTTGTGAGATAGAGTCTCAAGCTGTCGCCCTGGGTTGAGTGCTGTGGTGTCACATCTCACAGCAACCTCAAACTCTTAGGCTTAAACAATTCTCTTGCCTCAGCCTCTCAAGTAGCTGAGACTACAGGCGCCCGCCACAACACCCAGCAATTTTTTTTGTTGTTGCACTTATTGTTGCTTTAGCTGGCCCAAGCCGGGTTTGAACCCGCCAGCCCTGGTGTATGTGGCTGGCATCCTACCCACTGAGCTACGGGTGCCACCCAGCCAGAAAGATTTTTTAGGATGTCAAAACAGAATAACAACAGAAATACAGGCTGGGTTCATGCCTGTAATTCCAGCACTTTGGGAGACTGAGGTAGGAGGATGGCTTGAGGCCAGGAGTTTGAGCAAGACCCTGTCTCTACCAAAAAGAAAAAAAAAATAAAATTAGCTGGGCATAGTGGTATGTGCCTGTAGTCCTAGCAACTTGGGAGGCTGAGCCAGGAAGATCACTTGAGCCCAGGTTTGTGAAGTTACAAAGTTACAATGAGTTAGGATTGTGCCACTGCACTCCATCTTGGACAATAGAGCAACAGAATGAAACTCTATCTGAAAAAAGAAAAAAAAAGAAAGAAATATATGCGTACACACTACATAAAACTATACAATACAATAAATATCCATTTTAAAAGGTTAGAAGGAAATAATCTAAAATAATGGATCTAAAATAATGGAAGTACTGGTTTATGGTAATCACATACGCTTTCTTTTCCATTTCCTTAGTTTTAAATTTTATGTAGTGGAGTTATATTATTATTATTATTATTATTTTTAGACACAGAGTCTCACTTTGTCGCTGTTGGTAGGTTGCCATGGCATCACAGCTCACAGCAACCTCCAGCTCTTGGGCTTAGCTGATTCTCTTGCCTCAGCCTCCTGAGTAGCTGGGACTACAGGTGCCTGCCACAATGCCCAGCTATTTTTTTGTTGCCATTTGGCCAGGGCTGGGTTCAAACCCACCATTCTTGGTATATGGAGCTGGTGCCCTACCCACTGTGCTACAGGCACTGCCTGAGTTATATTATTTTTATAACTATTTTTTTTATTATTAAGTCATTTGTACATAGATCATAAATACATTTATGCCATTATGGGATTTTTGCAAATAACTAAAATTTTTATTTTATTTATTTATTTATTTAATTTATTTTTTTTTTTTGAGACAGAGCCTCAAGCTGTCCCCCTGGGTAGAGTGCCATGGCATTACAGCTCACAGCAACCTCCAACTCCTGGGCT